GTTCATCTTTTTCAGATTGCTCGTTAGGGAGTCAAGTCATGTGGTACTTGTCTCTCCATGTCTGGCTTATATAATTCATCACAATGTGTCTTCCAGGTTGAATCATGTTATTACTAATAACAGAATTTTTCTTTTGTAAGGCTATTTTGTATAATATTCCATTATACATAGATACACTTTTTAAAAATCCATACATTCATTGGTGAACACCTGTGGAACCAATCTATCATAGGAATGCAGACATCTATTCTACACACATTTGTGTCTGAGCTGGGCTATACCAGCTGTCTTCCTGGTAGGCAATTTGGCTTTGTTCTTCAGTTAATGTTTCATGGATCTGTTCTACTTGACTCTTCATTATATACAGAAGCCTAATTCCGCTAAGCTGTGGTAAGCACTTTAGACAGCAATATGACAGCACAATCCTTAAACTACAGGCTTTAAAATCATTCTTCAAGGGCCAAATCTTAGCCTTACCACTTTGAGCAGTCCCTAATCTAGTATAGTCTCAGTTTTCTCATATGCCAAATGAGAAAAATCATCTCACTGCATTAATAAGGGTAATGAACTTCTTTGTGTAATGTGCTGACTACAGTGCCTGATACAGAGTAGGTGCTCAACAAATGCCATATATTGTTATGAACCATCCTTTCCACAATCCTAAGAGGAATGCACTCTTCTCTCGAGGGGCGGGGGGGAAGGAAGAGAGAACAGAGGGGCGTAAGTTCTCATTCAAAGTCAAAATTTGCATGTGTTGTAGGAGATTCAGGGTTTAAACTGAATTCTGAGAGCTCAGCTCAGGTTGTCAAATCTTATCCTGGGCAGCCACTACCAGATAGGCACTTTTTATTATTTGACTTCTAAAGTCATGTTTTCTTTCCTTCTCAAAATGATGGTGAGTTTGTCCTATGCACAGTTTATTCACAACCTTCATGCTTTATGCCCTCCTTGCTTCGTCTTCCCTGTCTGCAGTTTCACTGCTGTGTGCCTGCACTCACAATAAATGCATTTTACTTCCACACATTCCTACCCAAAGAGACTATTGCATTAGAAAAGTAGGATAAAAACAGGAGCGGATCCTCAGCTAGAATCATCCCGGTGTGCAATGAATAGCTGAGCATTTACAGAGCCATTATACTTTCAAGTGTTCCTTTTCTAGGTGCCTAGCGAGGACTCCTTAACACTTCTCCAGGCAGGTAGCTGGCTGTTGCCGTCTGGGTGAAAAGCCTCAAAACAGATCTGTGCTCCATTGCTTGGCAGTGAGCACAAAAGTGGTGTATTTCAAGCGATAGCCATGCACTTATCTATGTGTGTAAATTATGCATGTTCATATGTGAATATGCATGCACACCCCCTCCCTACACCACCATTGTGCAGTGTTAGAAAAGAGAGTGTTTGGCTTTTCTAGGTCATATCCACAAGCCACAGTTGAAAACCAAACAGTTCAGTCACCTGACAACCTACTGGATTGAAGCCGTTCAAATTGGATGGTTTTCCTGGGACTATTTATGTATAGGTGATTTGGAAAGTCAATTATTGCAGGTTAATTATGTCATGTGTGTCTGATGTGAATCAAGTTCATTTTTTAATTTATACTAATAAAAATAAATAAGTAAAACAGGTTCATTTTAGATTTACAATACCAAGTAGATTCTTCACAAGGCAGCGACCGTGTATGTATTTGTGTAAATGTTATCAACCGATACACTGTTTTGTTTGAATTTCCAGTTTGCCTATCACTGTAATGCCTTAGCAGCAGAAGAATATTATGCTCATAATTTCTGCATCCTCTCCAAAGATGTGGTACTTATATGATTTTTACTCACTAAATAAAGAAGTATAATGAACTGAGATTCTGCTTCTCTCCCTCTTTTTTAACCTGCTCTTTTATGGGTTAAGAAGCTTCAACTTTAAAAGTTTCTTTTTAAACTAAGTAGCTATGTAACACTTATTGAACATACATTGTGTCCAAGATGTGCTTTGGAGGAAGGTAAGAAAGTATTGGACCAAAATGGATAAGCAGACCTGTGTTTTCTGTGTTACAGGTCTGTGTCTAAATAATTATCAAGCTGCAGATCTTGACTCTTGGCTGTGAAAGTCTAACCATATTCTAGAAACAGACATAGCCTCATTTCCTGTGTTAGAATTTCACAAACAGAACTCTTATTGTATATCCTATGGTCTTCACCCTTCTTTAATTTAGCTTTACTGAGTTTTGGGAGAATTCAGGAAAACCACATAGGAGGTTCAATTTATACTGGTTTTCAGTGGATGAAGATACATGATAACTTACAGCAAGAGTAAAAAACAGCTCCTCCATTGACATAGATTTTAGGCACATGTCCACGCTTTCTCCAGGACTCTATATTTTATACAGTGGGAGATTGATCTGATGGTGATCATTTCTGGCAGATAAACTAGGGAAAATAGAATTCAATATTAGGTCCCTAAAATACACCAGAATATATCTACTACATCATGGGACTATTTCATCAGCTGTCTGCCTCTTTTGGTATTTATTTCACATACACCTTCCTTCTTGTACCAGGTTTCATTCACATGTTCAGAAGTCATACAGGAAAAAATAGTGCCTGTCCATAAGGAATTTATATGGCTGGTTGGATTATTTGAGTGCCACACATGTGTAGCACCCACTCTTACCCTTCTAAATGAACAACTGTTAGGTTCTGAAATCATATACAGTATTTGCTTTAAGAGGCTACAGCACAGGAAGTCCTGAAATATAGCACAGAATACAAATAGGTTGCAAATGATATTATACTGCAGCTTAATATGTGCTATAGCCAAGGGCAAGATATCTCATAACTAATTATATTCATTTTCTACTTAACAGAGACATTCAGAGTACAGATCTTAAAATGTGCCAGTTGAACTTCTGCTAAAATTACACTCTCCCTATGGAAAACAGTCCTCTTCCCTTGTTATACTTTAGGCTCCATTTACAGCCTGCCAAAACACTTCATTTCATTTAGGGGAAAAGTTTATCCAACTGTTGCCAAGGATCATGTAACAACTAGTTGTTTTGCTGATTTTTTTAAGAACCTAGTAACTGTGCATTTGTGTTCTGGGGACCCAGAGTTAGACTGTAGGAGAAAGAATTCAAAGACTTGATTCAAATGGGGATGCAAAGGAGTCTATGCATCTGTACAGATCTTATCTCACATACATTATCTCATTTAATTCTTCCAAAGGCTTCTCAGAGAGAGGCACCAATTTCCAGAGAGATTTTCAGTTGAAAAGAAGTGTCAGAGGTAGGATTCAAACACAGGTGTTCTGACTCCGATTCCTGGTATTTTTCTATATCATATTTCTAAAATGTGCTGGGGTTGATCTTTGCCAGAACCATGTTTTCATTCTGGTTGTTGATACCATTTTGCCAGTGTTGGTTAGTTGTTTTTGTTTTGGGTTTTTTTTTTTTTGTACTGGGCATCGAACTCGGAACCTGGCACTTGCCAGGCAGGCGGCCGCACCACTGAGCTAAATCCGGGGCCCCAGCGTTGGTTAGTTTTAATGTAGCATATGCAAAAGTCAGAGTTCTAAGCTGGATTTCTCTAGAAGGAGCTTCCTGTGTTTCTGAGGTCAATAGGGACTATTTGCATTGTAAGAGTCAGGAAAACAGCATGAGCCTTTATTGGCAGCCTTAAGAAATGTTTTTAATTTTGAACTTGGCCTTGCATTTATCTGACAATGGATCAGGGAGGGAGTCGGGAAGAACCAGCACTTGTATATGAAGCCCCTGAATTGAAACTTAAAGTTAAACTCAAATCCTTTTGATAGGAAATGACTTAAATTCAGTATTCTCACGTGTCTAAAGTGTACAGAACATTGCATAGATGTTAAATGGGAAGGGAGGGACATACATCCTGGTTTTCCCAGAAAAATCTCAATTTATGCCAGATGCTGTAAGTCTAGAACACTGAATACTTCATTTTTAAAATAACATGAATAACCTAGAAAAATTTCCACTGTCCTCAAGGAAGTTATAATCTGATGGGTTCCAGGAAGAGACATAGGAGAAAAGCACACCTCTGTACATAAAATAAAGAAGAATATTCCAAGTAGTTTTTTTTTTTTTTTTTTGTAAATGACATAAAGCCAATGTTTGGGGAATTTAGATAGATAGAAGTATGTCTTTAGTTGCCATTAGTGCTGTCATTTTCAATAGTAATAATGAAAGTTAGCAGAAATAGTGGGATATGTACAAAATATACACTAATGTAGTATAGAGAACCCCTGGTCCTTTGAAGACTGTAACTTGATCAGCTACCCTGGGAACAGTATCCTGATTACAAATAGAGTTCTCTGTAGCAATAATTGAAGAGATTCTTTGACTGACTCTTTGAAACTCTCAGCAGGCCCAGGGACATTGTGTCCAAGCCAATTACTTATCTCCTTCCCTTGATGGTACTTGGTATAGAAATAATCATGACACCAATGAGGGTCCCTGAAATATCGAGTACCTGCAGCTTGGAGACTGCTGGCAAAGATCTGACCAAGAAGGATACTCAGGGAGAGAAGATCCCAGCTATTTTTCTGGAAGCTGTAGTGTTTTGATGTCATAGCTGCAAGGCCGACGCAGAGGAGTCTGAGGAGGGAGCCAACTCTCTGAGAGGAACAGAGAGGAATCTCCACCCGGCCCCCACAGACCCGGAAGCCAGGATGCCTTGGCCCCCTGTCACCTGACACCTGCTTGAGCAAGAGCTTCTGTTGCCTGCAGCCAAAGGCAATGTAAACACTTCTATGTATAATTCTTTCTTTCTTTAAATCATTCACCTCTTTCTCTCATTCTTGCACTGTCTCTGTCATTCTTTCAATTCTCTGTCTTTGTCTCTCTTTCCCTGTCTCTGTCTCTCTCCCTCCCTTTTTTTCCCTACTTCCGTTTCTCACCTTCTGTGCCACCTTTCAATACAGAGATTGTCTTAGCTCAGGCTGTTTTAACAAAGCACCACAGACTTGTGGCTTAAACAACAGAAGCTTACTTATCACAGATGTAGAGTCTGGGACCAGGTGCTGGCGATCCCGTTCCCAGCAAGGACGCTTCCTGGCTGTGTGCTCACAGCCTCTCCTCAGCCCACAAGAGAGCTCTTTTTTTCCTTTTCTTTTCCGTCCCAAAGGCCCCACCTTCATGACCTCATCTCACCTCCATGACCTCCCATGGTCCCTACCTCCAAATACCGTCGCTTTGAGGATTAGCATTTCTACACATGAACTTCAGAAGGACACCACCTTTCAACCATAACGATGTCTGTCATCTGTCAATTTCTGCCATTCTACAAGCAATGTAGAGATGTCGCTAGAGAGTTTCACTTAACGAAGATTTTCCCCAGTTTCAATATAATAATGAGCATGACGTTGAGGAGTAATGAGAATGACCAATACTTGCTTCATGCTTATTACGTGCCCTGAACTGTTCAAGGCCCATTGCACCCATTAACTCATTAGCTCTGCAACGTGAGCTTGTGTAATAGGATGGATCATCCCCATTTCAAAGATGAAAAATCCATGGTTATGTCACAAGGCTTTCTTCACTGGCAGAGTGTGGATGTGAATTTAGGCCATCCATCTGCCGTGCTCACATTTAACCATTTATTACTTGCACCTCAAGATAACTTGCAGATTGCAGTACCAACCTTACCCCCAAAGTTTGCCATGAAATATCTTGCTTTAATTATTTTTGCATCACTCTAGTATATCAATAGTCTTTGGAAACAAAAGACACCCTTTTATTTATAGCATTGTTTTCGATAGTGGTATCATATTTGCTTTACCCTCCAAGAGTGTTTTTGTAAAATTAAATGAACACTGGCTATGAGCTACACTTTTTTTTCCTAAACAGGGAATGTTCATCTTTACAGTGTACTGCGCCCCACGTCAATTTAGTCAGGATAGTCTCCTTCCAATTCTCTGTTGTTGGCATCCCATTTTGTTCAAGTCCTCTGCAGAGCTACATCAGGCAGAATGAGACTTTTTATGAGGAAGGGGTGCTAAGTGCAGGGAACCCATAGGCTCTTGGCTGTGAGTCTGTATTTTTGTCATATTCTGTCCCCATTTCCCTCTGTGCAGACTGAGACAGATATTGGTGTGATGGTTGGGCAACGTGGTGCTCCTGAAACAAGAGTTCATCCTATAGATCTTACACTGAAAACACGTTCCCCTCTCTATTCTGTGGAAAGAGTGCTTATTTGGTCCCCATGGCTTTTGGGAGTAAGCTTAGAAATTCTAGTCTGATTTCATCTCTGAACAGTCTTTATCTGATTATCTAAAGCCTTTTACTTCCTATATTGAACTATTAAATCTCCAGCTGGTGGAGACTTGTTATGGTTTGTGTCTAGATGTCTCCTCAAAGACTTGTGCAGTCATAGGTGGGGCTTTTACACAGGTGGCCGGATCTAGAGTGTGTGACTCTGGAATTGATTCATGGTGCAATGCTAGGCTCAAGGGCACTAGGATTAAGGGTGTGAGTGCCACCTGCCCTAAGTAGTCTGGATAAGATATAAGGGGCTGAGAGACACTAAGGTCTATTGTTGTTTGCCACCCTCTGTCCGCCATGAACTGTTGCCCCTCTGCCACCCTGCCTTGGAGCCAGCTGATTATGGACTGAAATCTCTACCAACTGTGAGCTAACTAAACCTTTCCTCCTTTAACTTTGGTTGTTGGGTATTTTGTCTCAGCAACAAGAAAAAAGTAGCTAAGGAAGTACCTGTCCTCATCTTCCACCTATTTCACAGCTGTTGTAGGGACAACTGTTTGTGGCTGGTAAGCTATTTGTTCTTATGAGTTTAGCATCTGTTTGGGTGTGAAATATATTGATCCTGAAGGTGAAGGAAAGAGAAGTGGTAAGTTATAGCCTTTGACCTTCACAGAGTACCCACACATCATAATACGTTTAGACAGTTTAGGCTTGCTCCAGGTGTCCTGGTATAATTATTAATAACAGCTCTCTGTTCTCCAAAGCATCCCAGTATGGATAATAATGTATCTGGCCCCTAAACCTTAGAAGCCTAAGGTTAAGTTAAGGAGATGGGAATTCAGTTAGGGAGATGGGAGACATAAACAGAAGAAGACAATGAACACAAACAAACAGTGTGCAGTGATTGCCAAATACATGATCTGTGCTTTCAGTGGATGGAACCACATTTTAGAAGAGAATACAGAGGCCTTCAGCCATCTGGTAAACCACTTGAAGATGGAACTTAAATTGGTGCTTGACGTGCATGGAGATTTCAAACAGGTAATGAAGAAAAGAGATGGGACAGTAAACCCTTCCCTAGAGACTGCAGTCAGAGTAAAGCCTAATTTTTTTTCAAATGAACACTGGTAGAAATGATTCCCTCCTCTCTTTAAGCAAGCTGATGTTACCAGGCAAACCAGCTGGTAGCTTGAACAGAAAACACATTGGGCCACTGAAATGTGTGGGGGTTTTTTCCCAAATGTTCACCACCACATTAATGAGCCATTTGCCTTGCTGACATAATCATTACCCTGCGAGGATGGAGAAATAAAGAAACACTGAGCTGCATGGGCCAGAGCCCTTGTCCTGTATCGGAGTCCTCAGAAGGCACCCTATCCTTCCTTGACTGCTCCAAGACTTAGACTTGTACACCCCGTTTCCTGCTGGGCTGCGTTTCCAGCCATCTTCTTGGACCACTTGGATACAAGGACACGGTGAGGAGGAAATGGAGAGCGGAAACACTGGCGCCAGGCTACAAATTCAGTTTTCAAAGGTGTCTTAAGGAAGTGTTACCTATTCTTCAAAACACCGTGAACAGAGCTGTTTGCTGCTTTTGGAATCTGAGGTGTGAATATCACAACCACCTTTTTTCTTTGAGCACCATCCCATTAAATTAATCATGGATCACTGTTCTCTTCCCAGAGTTTAATTACATAATCATTTTTAGATTTTTTTTAAAGACTGGAAACTTTCACTCAAATGAACTCTTAGAAATAGTCCTGGTTTCATACACCACGACAGAGCCTGCTAATTCCCCACCCAATATCCACTCTCCCCTTCTTTCTTACTAACAAATCTCCAACTTCCTGTTACTTAAAGGTGCTTACGTGGCACAAATCTAGGCAAAAGAAGTTAGCATGTAAAATCTAAAAAACTCTTCTAACTCAAATTGAAGTATATGCTTTTGTTCTCTCTCTTTCCTCTAGCCCACCTAAGTAGTGGAAATGAATGGTGGAGCTCTGGAAGCCTTCTTGGAAGCATGAAGATGAGGCTGCAACGTAATGATGTGGGAACAGAAAGCCAGAAGGAACTTAAATATTTAGCATTGTGGAACTACTGTGTCATGCAACCAGCTTGAACTGCTTATTCTTCGACTTGATCATGCAAAACAAAAAACAATATCCCAATTTCCTTATGTTAGGATTTCTACTTCAGTAGAGAAACGGCCTTTGTTAAACTGTTGATTGTGAAACTGACAAACAGGAAATTTCTCTGGTAGATCTAGGGATGAATGAGGTGAAGTTTCACCTTCTGTGATATTGAAATTATAAGATACTTAAGCAACTTTGGATTTGTATGGCATTTCTGGAGGTTCCAGTAATAAAATAAAGGGCCATCTGTAAATTATTTCATTCTATTTGTATCATGACCATCTGCACTCACCATAGGAGGTTATTGGAGTAGAATTGATTTATTTCTCTCTTATTTTGAGCAAATATTAGTAAAGATTAGGAAGTATTTTTGAGAGTATAATAGTTGCTCATTGTTTTTTCTGTATTGTATTATTTAGCCATGACTACAAGTAAGAGTGTAGAGAGTGGAGAGAGAAAGAGAGATCTGTAGGTTGCCCCACTGTGACCCGATTCTTGCAGGTATCTTCCACACAGAATACAGTGATAGTCCTCACCAGAGCTGTTCAATGTGATAACCTTAAACTAGAGGACACTCATTTTGCTTGTCTAGCACTCCTTTTTATATTTGTTTTTATTTGTTTGATGAGACAGAGCCTTGCTAGGTAGTTCAAACTGGCCTTGAACTCACTAGGTAGCCCAGGCTGGCTTTGAATTCCTGGGCAATCCTCCTGCCTCAGCCTCCCAAGTGCTGGGATTATGTCTAGCACTTCTTCCTTTAAGAACTGGGCAGCCTCCATTCCATCGAAATCTGGTACCAACCCTCTGGTTGGATAGACCTGACAATCCCCCTTGAGCCATGTCTCACTTTCGTCATTTGATCCAGGGTTGACTTATCCAACCACTCCATTTCCTAGCCACATTTGGTTCAGATATTCCTGACTAAAGACAGATCAATAAAAGTATCTGGGATGTGTGCTGGAGCTAAATGATTTTTCTTTTGGATCCTGAGTGTAAAGCTCATGTAAGCCTTGATCTGCTGGTCGCCCTATCATTATTAAGTAACAGGAGCTTGCCCCCAAAAAAGTTATGACAGTATTTGATCACCTGGATCCAGTCACGTTGAAGACATTGGACTTTAATGAGTCCATTAACATCTTTCTCTTAAAAAGCTATTTGAGGGCCAGGGATTTAGCTCAGTGGTGCTGCTGCCTGCCTCGAAAGCTCAAGGTCCTGAGTTTGATCCCTGGTACCAAAAAAATACCTATTTGATTTCTATTTCTGTCATGTACTATCAAAGAGTTTCACTTAATATAGGTCGCTGTTACTATCTCCATGAGGCTCTGAGAAAATAAGAAAAATGGCCAAGTCAAATCAGTAATGGATGGAAACAAGATTTTAGAATAAGGCAGTCTGATAGTCACATCTATCTTCTTTTCATTACACTATGCTGCCTCCCCAAGCCAATGAAAATCAGTCACAATTGATGGAAATAATGCTGATTTATCATTAGGCTTTGTAACACATGATATCATTTCTACATAGTTTCCATGTTCCAAATTTTATGCTAATTCCAACTAGTTAAATTTATGAAGCAGAGTCATCACTCTTTGTTATGGAAATATTTTCATACTTACAAAGCTTTAGAGAATATTTCAGTGACTCTTGTCAAAGAATTCTTTTAAAATACCAACTAGGTACATAGATTGGGATTGATGTTCTATATGCAAAGGAAAAAAATAAAACAACTCATACATTTTCAAGTCATTTTATTCCAGCACGAACACCAACACTGATAAAGTGCTATGGGAAAAGGGGTAGTGTTGGAGTTAGGAATGAAAATTATATAGTTCTAAATAAGAAGCAATGTGAGCAGGACATCCTAGGGCACTTGAATAGAACTTTCTGCATAAGGAATATGTTCTGTACCTTCTTTCTTTAAAATGGTAGATACTAACCACATGTAGCTATTGGGCATTTGAAATGTAGCTAATGGAACTGAAGAACTCTATAGCCAGTGGCCACAATATTAGCAGGTTCAGTTCTAAACAAATAAAAATTACATAACACAGAAACTGTATGGAATGGGGAAAATGGCAAAGACAAGGTTTGCATGAAAGATAATGTAAGTTGTGTAGTTCAGCTGGAACTGAGCTTTTAAGGGAGTGAGGTGAGAAATGACATGTGGTAAAGGTGACTGGAGTCAAAACATAAAAGATGTTGTCTGTAGGCTTTGCTTTTGATCAGTTGGGAGCAGGTTGCTCCTGAGCTAGGAAGTGATGTGTTCAGCCCTAATTTATGGGAAGATTAAGCTGGTGGCTAAGGACATGTAGAGCACAGAAATAGAGATGCCTCACATGAGACCATAAGGAGAGGCCAGACAAGTTAATGGCAGCCTGAACTAAGACAATGAAAGAGAAAATGTATTAAAAAGACAAATGTGAAATACATCATGGAAGTATGTAGAGGCAAGAGCACTAAGAACTGATTGGAAGAGTCAAGAGCATAGGACAGAAATGTATTTTGGAGAACAGATAGACAAAAAATTAGAAATAAATTTGTCTCTATACCTATCTGATATATAGAGAGAGACTCTGAGTTTTGTTTTAAGATCTTTTGGGTTAAGTTGTAATGTTACAAATATAATTATAAAATTAAAGCAAAATGTTAGAGGATGCAGTAGAAATTTGGGAATTATTTATATGTAGATCAGGGAGAAATAAAAAATAGCTGTCAGGCCAAATTTGGCTTACTGCTTGTTTTGTGAATTAAATCCTATTGGAGCATAGTTTCTCTCATTGGTTTACATTGTACCTCTAACTCTTGGAAGGATAAAATAAAAAGTTGAATATTTCAATAGGCTGCTATGTCAAAAAAGCTGAAATCACTCATATTTATTATTGAGTCCTTGGTAGAGTGGAATACATTTGCTGACTCTGACACTGTCTTAGTTACCTTTTTAATTGCTGAGCCAAAATACCTGACACCCTCAAGTTAAAGGAGGAAAAGTTTATTTCAGCTCATGGTTTGTGGAGATTTTAGTCCGTAATCAGCTGGTTCTAAGGCAGGGTAGCATGGCAGAGGGGCATCACAGAAGAGAAACAGTCCATGGCAGAGCAGGCAGGAGGTGGCAGCAGCATCAGCAAAGCAAGCCTCCCTTTCTCTTTATTCCCATTGAGGATACAAGCCTTTTGGGTCTTGCCACCCATACTCAGGAAGAGTCTTCCCATTTTCCACAGCCAGAACTATGCTAAACCAATCAGAGGACTAATTTAGTCTACACATCCTTAATCCCAGTATCACATACCCTAGAGCCACCCAGTTCCAAAAAGCCCCGCTTATGAGTTCATGAGCATTTGGGGGACATGTAGATACAAGCCTTAACAGATACAGAAGATAGAAATCACCAGAATGCATGAGATCTCAATCATTTTCATTTTAAAACTTCTATTACTCAGTGGAACTCAATAGCATACTCTATTATTATTATTATATTGCCACATTGGAATATATTAATTATATTCAGAATTAAAATACGGAGATTGTCCATGATTCTAAAATATCTCTTAGCTCATTAAGAAAAGAATAAATCATTCTCTATGTAAAAATATTACTAAATATATTGTATTTTTATCTAGCTATTTGGAAAGTGATACTCCTCTTATGACTTATTTTGATTCTTTATTAGCCATAGTATTTTATCAAAGGAAACAGTTCATTCTCTACCTTAGGTCAAGTGATACATATTTTAAACTTTATGAAATTCTTACTTTGTTAAAGTTTCATCAATTCACAAAAATTAAATAGGATCTGAAGCATAAGTTTCAAGCTCAAGCTTGTGTGGTCAGAGAGGTATAACAGGTGTATCTTAAAGGGAGTATTTATTTAAGTATTAGTAAGATCTTAGTCCATCTAAGGTGCTAAAACTAAAAGTTATAAACTTAGTGGGTCATAAACAACAGAAATTTATTTCTCATAGTTCTAAGAGTTGAGAAGCCCTGACTCAAGTCACCAACAGATTAGTGTCTGGTAAGGACCCACTTTCTGGCTCAGAGAGAGGCCTATTGTCACTGTCACCTCACATGGCAGAGGAGCAGGAAGCTTGCTGCGACCTCTTTTGCAAAGACATTAATTCCATTCAATAAGGGTTCCATTCTCATGACCTCATCACTTTCTAAAGTACTACCTCCTGATACTATCACCTTAGTATTTTGCAGGATCTAAATTTGGCAAAACATTAAAAATAATCGAACATGAAGAAAACTAATGTGCCTTGTTTTCTAAAAATATGTGAAAAAGGAGGCATATTAAATAAAGAGTAGAAGACAGTACCTTTAAAATAGACTAAAATATTTATAAAATTCAATAACTCCCTACAGAATATCCTTCACTGAACAGACTTTACTCTGCAATTACAAAATATTTCAGCATAGATATTCTCTCACTACAATTATATGGTCAACATAGAAAAGTCAATAAAGGTTGTCAAAAGTGTCAAAGTTACTATTTTAAACGGCAATTTTAAAGAAGATGGTAGGCAGTTTTGTGGAAAAAATAAATAAAGCTATAGGCAGTAAAATTACTGGGTATGTCATTATAATGGGAGATATATGTCACCACTACAGCTTTGTCCAAACCCATAGGATGTACAGCACCTGGGAGGGTCCCTCATGTGAACTATGGCTGTGTGTGGTCCATGTCAATGCAGGTTCACCAGTGGAAACAAACTGACCTCTCTGGTGGGGGCTTGCTAACAGAGGAGGTTACCCACGTGTGAGGTCCGAGGTATATGAAAATTCTCTACCTTCTGCTCAATTCTCCTGGGAATCCAACAGTTTTTCCTAAAGTCTACTTAAAAAAAACTTTTAAGAAATTTCCAGTGTCATGATATTAGATGTAGATATAGGTTTTAAAGGTTACATTATGTTAATGGGTAACAAAACTTACAATTCTCTTGTATTTTTAATATTTGGAAAATCAGTATAAAGAAGTTTTTATTTTTACTTTACACACACATATAATTTCTAAATTTTTAGGCAGAATGATTAAAATGTTGTTGGAAAAGAATTTCTTTATAAGCCAACTCCAGCAACAGCAAACATGCTGAACAGCAGCGACTCTCAGGCCTGCTGTCTGATCTAGATGAGTCCTTACCATGTGTGACTCGCTAAGACCCTGAACTCAGGCCTTGCTGAAGGGGACACCTAGGGCCAGTGTCCACACTCCTGTAGCTTGAAGCTTAGATGCATCTTTGCTTTGCTTGCTTGCTGTCTTGATGGTAATGTCAAGTAAATAGGTCTTTAGCCAAATAAAGAAATCATTATTGTCTTTCATTTTTACAGCCCAGATTAGCCCTGTTCTTATTTTTCTTATTTAACTACAAAAAATTTGTTTATAATTACATTTGGGTACATAGGTAATGGCTTTGAAATAATAGAAATAAATTCTCATTTTCTCTAGAGAAGTCATCATTTGATAGTCAATGTCTATAAGTTTTAAAGATAATCAAGAAATAGTGTTAAAATATACTGGGTATAAATATAGGAATAAATAATATAAGAGACTTAAGAATGTTGAAAGTAGGGAATGAATTTGGGGGCAAGGGAGTAAGAAATGCTACTAAACAATTTGTTGTCATAATTTAATTTTTAAACTGATAAACGTGTATATTTTAATTTTTAAAAAGTGAACAAATTTTGTTTTTCTTTACAAAATTAAATGCCTAATCCACACAGTAGGAAGTCAAAATTTCCTTTCGCTGTTACCTCCAATTTTCACAGGTTTCTGGTTATATTTCTGATTTCCTAATTTCTGCACAAGAAATTACCAGTTCACCCTATTAGGAGGGCTATGAAGTCTACCCTAAGTAGTCTTGGAAATGCTGAACCATTATGAAAGGTTTATTAGTAGGTAAGTTTCCATCAAGATTGTGCTAATTTGAAGCATTTTAACAAATATACAGTTAATTAGAATGTAGAAAAGTAACAAGCTCCTTTATTTTCTTATATGCCATTTCCAATATCACATACTATAATTAATTAACTGAAAAGATGACCTACCACCGGCTGACATTCTTGGCGTCAAGTTAAAGGAAAGCAGAGCCCCCCCCCCCCTTCACCCACTAGAGATGAGACTTGGGAAAGCATTACTATAAGTCAAGATCACTGCTGGGTGGAAATTCTTGGATTCAGTGAAGGAAGTTGCACATCAAGATTAAGTTTGCTATTGAACCATTTTTTGCTAGTCACAGCCTTCTTCCTCCAGCTTCTCAGTAAACAAGCCGAGAATGCTGAGTGTTAATGGGCTGATCCCCTTGTCTCCCTGTAATAGATTGTCTGGACTCTTACTGAAATGCACATCATCGTCTTGCAGGAGCTGCTGTGGCTTGTTTGTTCCTGGTGTTCAAATAGTGCAGCTGTTGCCTCAGCACGTTAGAGGCAAGTCGCTGATCATGCTGGGCCAGCCTTGCTCTTTATTATTGTCGGTGTGTTCTCTTCTTTTTGTGCTAAGCTTTCAAATCGGCCTCTTACCCAAAACAAGCCTAGATCAGCAGTGAAAGAGAATAATTCATGTTGAAATCACTTAAGAGAATCTGTACAGGACTGGATAGAGTTTCGCAGAAGATTAGAAATAGTATCAGGTAAAATATGTGAGTTAATATTGAGGTCAATCATCCATTACCAGCCTACTCCCACTTCCCCTTTTAAAAGAAAGGAAGTAACTGATTATAATCATGGCCACCTTCTTCACCAAGGCTTAATGTGCACCCAGATGGGCGTGGTTTTCAGTGTTCTTTCTGTCTTATCTTCTAGAGTCCTCATCACATCCGTAAGTGGTATTTCCTTTTCATGGGATTAAATAAAAAGATGCCTTAAAAGTCCTTAACACTGTACCTGATGGGATATAAAGAAATGTTGGCTTGTTATCATTACTAATCATCAGTAAAGGTCCATTGGTCTGCTGTGGTTATAAAGCTGAGTCTTTCTGAATGGGACAGGTCAAAGTAGATTCTTCTACCTTGGGAGAAAAAGGCAAAGGGTGAAATTGTAAACCCTTGTGAGTCTGCATTTCTTTATTTTAGTGACTAACAGACTCAACCAGTGAGGAAAAGATAAAAGAAATTTCTCAATGCTAATCCTAGTCACACATCCAGATATTGATTGTATATGTCTTGCCTGCGCTGACGACTCCAGAATCTAATACTGACATTTTTGCTCTTTAACCAAAGGCAAAATTTCCACTGTCCAAGGCTGGAATGGGATGACTGCAGACCTTGGAAATGTTTTGTTGAAGTGGAAGTGAGCCTTATTAGGTGCTATACAGGCAATTCGGGCATTAATTAAATGCTCTTTGATACCAGTTCTCACTCAGAATTTACAATGATAAAAACAGATACTGATAATACTTTTTCTAAGGGAAAATTCGATCCTACATTAGTAAAAATTGTTACTAAAAGCAATTGAATATTAAAAATAGAACTCAAACCTTATATTTAAGGAAGAACTTTAATTTAAAATAAACTGCCTTAAAAATAAACATCAATAAGTGAAAAATAGCTGGGCATAAAGGTGTACGCCTGTAATCCCAGCACCCAGGAGGCTGAGGCAGGAGGCTAGCTTGACTACGAAGTGAGATTTTGTCTCAAAAAAAAAAAAAAGTGACCACAGTTGGTGTGGGCAAAAAGCATGATGGAGGCGTGTGATTAAATCAAGGGTTTTGGCATATAGCAATGAGAACTGGGATTAAAACTTGGCTCTGACCACAGCTGGCTGTGTTACCTTGGAAATGTTACATCTTTATATGTGCATTTATGCATCTGTAAAATGAGATGCTTTATTGGAGTCTTTATGAGAATTATATGAGATTTCATGTTTAAAGTGCTTGAAACATAGTAGGCACTAACTAAATAATGGTTTAATGATAATAGTAACAAAGTGCTATGGTTTGAATCTTAAATTCCTCCAAAGACTCATGTGTTAAAGGCTTAGTTCCCAATGCAGCTGTGTTCAGAGATGGAAATTTGGGAAATTCATTGGATCATGAGAGCTCTGCTCTTGTCAGTTGAAAAGTTTAGTAGCTTAATGTGCTGTTAGGAGGTGGTGAAAACTTCCAGAGATGGGACCTGGCTGGAGGAAACACATCACTGGAGGTAAGCCCTCCCTCACGGGGTTATTTTGTCTCTGGTCCCTTCCTGTCTCACTCTCTGCTGCCATGAGGTGAGCAGCTTCCCTCCACAGAGAGGTAAGTTAAACATTCCTTATATGGAATGCTGCATAAGTGATATTACTGTCTAGGGAGCCCACAGAACCTGTAAAGCACAGGAGGCATAAAAGTAAATAGATCCAATCAAGACTGGAAGCACATTAAGAACCAATCAAGAACAGAAGCAACCTTCCCAACAGGAATTAACCAGCATTCAAGTTTCCCAAGTGTATTGGTCAGCACCTCATCACTGGGAGACAATACCTGACACTCACAATAATGGACCAATCCACTAAAGACTCCAGCACCCTCATGATCCAAACACCTTCCAAACACGGGAGACTTTTGGGGGACAGTTCAGATCTAAACCATAGCACCAAAGAATTAAGAGACTTGAACTTACCAGTGCAAATTACATGGAATCCAGAAGTAATTGGTAAAGTGGAAATGGTCTGATACAGGGAACCAACTGTTTCAACCAATCTAGATAATTCTGTAAAACACAGAGGACGAGCATTCCAAAATCATGAGATGGGAAGATAAAGTTTCCAGATCACATAAAGCAGAGAAACGATCAACTCCTCAGTGAGTTGGAGGGTAAATTAACACTAGCCCCACACTTCTATTATTTATTACATAATTAACTTACAACTGTTTCTCATTCTTGGTCCATAGTATATCTGGTCAGCTATTCACCTCATCAAAAATCCTTTTTAGATGCTGTTAATTATACCTGGAATAAGTGAATCCCCAGGTGACAATTTTAATGACCATATCTCATTAGACAGAGCTACTAAAGAATACGTTTCAGTACAGCCTTGTTTCACTGATGTCCAATCCTACCTTTTTGGGCTAATGATATTTTATATCATTTTTGTCCTTTTACTTTAACACTACTTTTGTGACTAGGCAGGAGATGTATTATCACACAATTTTACAGGAGGAAGAAATGAGTGCATTTGAAATGAAAGTTAGTTTTCCAAGTTTAGAGTTTATGTTAGAACTGGGAGTAAAAACCAGCCCAAGTCAAGTGAAATCAAATCACAGGACTTCTTGTTTTCCCACATTGGCCTCTGAGAAATACTTTTGTGAAAGATATATTTTTATTTTCTCCTGGTTTCCAAATATTACACTTTCAACTCCAATTTAAATTTTAGTCCGCTCTATGTTGTCTATGGAATCTGAGCTGTGGCAAACTTTATGATATTTCTCAGGCCCCAAACACTACACATAATCCAAGAGGAAAATCAGAATGGGAATCATAGATGTGTTGGGTGGGTTAGGTCTCTTAAAATATTCATTTCATATGAGGAACTGTTTTAGAATGACACACTAAGCTAACATACGACAGAAAATAACCAATGTCAACTCCCCTCTGGTACGAAATTAGAGCTGAAATTTAAAACTAGCCTACCTCTAAATTTTCTACGTTTAACATTAATTGAAGCAGCCATACTCCATTGCATTCTGAAGATTGCAACTCGTTTTGTTAAACTCAAATCACACACACACACACACACACACACACTCACTCATAGCCACACAGACTAAGAAATGTTTGTGGAATATAGTTTTCACATGTTATGTGTGACAATGTTCTTCTTTTGCTTGATTGGTGGTGCAGATTTTGAATTCACAGACCCCAGCACCTGCAGCTGTATCCATATTCACAGATGGTAATGAGAGCCTCCCTACCACCCAGTATCTTCTGTTTATCTTTTCAAGACTTACAAGGAGGAGGAAGAAGCTGGTCTACTGAAATATTCCCCAATCTGAATCTCATGTTTTGAACCAGCTGCCTTAGAAGGTATTGGAGAGTTCATTTAGAAAGGTTAGAGTGGGTTTCATTTTGTCCCTTAGCCAAGGATATTGTGACAATGTCAACCTATGAATGAGTAAACTGGGTGCCTGGCATGAGCCAGTCATTTCAAACAAGTAGCAGTGAGTGAGTGGCAATAAGCAAAGGTCTTTGAGTCCTTTGTTCATCACTTTTCCTGGATTGTCTTTTTTTCCCCATGCTAGGGATCAGAGCCAGGGCCTCGTGTGTACTGGGCAACTGCCCTCTACCACTGAGCTACATCTCCAGCCTCCCTGTGAATTGCCTTTTAGTGATGCTAGTAGAACAACTGCTTTAAGTAACTTACTGAATTTTCCAGCTAGGAGGAATGTTAGGGATGATTGATTATCATTCCTATCACTTTTTGAAAATTGAAGCACAGAGGAGTGACATTCTTTTTCCAAGCCACACAATGGGTAGTAATAACTGGAAAGAGAAATCAAGTTTGCTGATGCCGTTTGCTTCAAACTCTGCCTTTCTTGCCCAGTCAAACAAAAGACTTAACCGCTATGGTCACTGGATTAAGCAATTGTTTTCACTGAACTGGTGCGATAAATTCAAGTTCCTGCTACTAGGGTTCACTTTTCAGGTGGGCTGCAATGCTGATGAACAGACTTGAAGCTGATTGTTTTGGAGATAAGTCTTTCTAGGTTTCTTGGACTAGGCTTTCATCTGGCTCAACCTCAAAACAAAGAACCCTGGAACATTCTGTTCTTTACAAAATACGATTAGGCACACTCTATAAAATGTATAGTCTTGTGTAATTATAGGAATTTTGCCATTAAGTCCTCTCAGCTAAAGATGATGTATTATGTAGGATGGAATTGAAGACATGTAAATAGAAATACAGTATTTTTTAAAAACCAAGAAAGAAAAGCCACTGCAGAAAAGGCGAAAACATCTACACCATGTAAATGATGAGTTTTGACTATACTTAATGTTACTTGGAATACTGAATGATGGAAATAGCAACACTACATTCAAATTTCTCAAACATTCCAGGGAAAAATGTACCAAGAAACAGGCACACTGTCAGTCATCATAAAATATCTTACAATTTTCTTTCAGTTGTACGACAAAGGAATTTGTGTCAACAAAAATGAGAAATAGGATGCAAAGACTGATAGTGTTTTCTGTAGCCCCTGGCCTTGTGTTTCAAAAGTCATGAAGGACTTTTTTTTTTTGGTACCAGGGATTGAACTCGGGTCCTTGTGCTTGCACAGCAGGCAGTGAAACCACTGAGCTAAATCCCCGGCCCAATGAAGGACATTTTTAATCATCAACATAGAAAGGTAGTGTAGTGAAATTGATCATGAAATTGATTAAACAAAGACATGTAAAACTGATGGAAAAGAAGAAATTAAAATCATCGATATGTTTACCATTAAAGTCTGCTGTGTCTATGTACAGAAGCTTCAGTTATAGCCACGTTGATCGAGTTTTTGTTTACTCTGCTATTTCCAACAGCAAGTTTTTCTCTGTTTGATGCCAAGTTCCTTTTAGGAGTTCCATGTGACTTACATTAGCATTTTTGGCTTCAAAAGTATCTCTAATGAACCATTTATAGTTTTTTTAAGAGTGCTCAAAAAATTAGGCTGTGACAGTTATTCAAAACATAATTTGTTATGCTGTTTAATTATTTAGTGCACTGTTTAAAAATTTAAATGTGGCTTCTGGTTGGTTAGTTAATGTGGTCCCATTAAGGTGGATTTGAAGCTCCTTGAAGATTATAATTATTTACTGAGTCCTTCATGGTTTGGATTTATAAATTAGATTATGTTCTAATAAAATGCTAATTCAAAAATGTCAACTTCAATGTTTCTAAGAGTATTTCTTTAAAATATTATTAAACACCCACATATTTTTTTTAAAAAATCACCAAGTGAAAGAAATTGACTGAAATATCTTGATAAAGTAAAAATGGTCTAATCCATAGAGTGCCACCTTATTATATTATGCACATTCCATTTCCAAATTCACATGAGAAAACATGATTACCTTTACAAAAATATTTTGTTGATTATTAATCTGGCTCCAGTCTTCATAATAATGATGGGTCTTGAGGCAAACAGTATGGCAACTTTTAGCCTCTTCAAAAAATGACTGCTGAATATCATGATAAACTTCATACTCTGTTCACAGAAGAAAAATGAAAATTAGGGATGACTTTCTCTGGAAGATATTATCAAATTTTGCATTTTCGTCATGGAGGACTAGAGGACATTATAATATATTAAGTGACACCAGCCACACACAGAAAGAAAATTCTGAATGTTGCCAGTCATATGTGGAAGCTGAAACTGTTGATTTCATAGAAGTAAAGAGTTAGAATAGTGGTCACAAGAGGTTGTAGAGAGAAGACAGGGAGAGTAGGAGGTTGGATTGTGGGTACCAGTATATGAGGTGTGATATAAATAATGTAAATGATTAAATAAAAAATGTAAAAATTATTACAGTAAAAGATATCCCCCAAAATACTCCTCTTTGCTTCAAACACACTTATCATTCTTGCAGCTTTCTGAAATTGTTCTAGAAATTCTTTCATGAGTGAATCTACAAGGTGGGATCAAAAGTACAATGAATGCTGCTACCCAGTACCATCCAGAAAGGCAGGTTTATAAAAACATTGTGATGTGTCCCAACCACCTTCTTCACAGGATATGCAACTGTGAGATGTCTAGTGGTTCCCCAAAGTCAAAATAACCATGGAAGGTAAAGGTTTTGAGTCGATTCAGGACAAGTAGGTAGCCAAGACAGGACAACTAAAGACATTCAGGAAAGAGTACTTCCAGAACTGCTTCAGAAAGTGGCAAGAAGCATGAAATAATTATGTTCAAAGTGAGGGGGAAATTTTTGAGGGAGATTAATACCAGTGTGTCTCTAATTGTAATAAATTTTTTTAAAAATTTAAACATTCACCATTGTTTTTTATCAGGACTCATACAGGTAAGAGAAATAAGTTGCAGTATTCTATAGCACTGCAGGGTGACTGTAGTTGACAACAATTTGTTATGTATTTTCTAAAGAACTAGAAGAGAGAAGTTCAAAAGTTTCCCAAAAAAAGAAATGATAAATGCTTAAGGACATAAAAATGCTAATTACTCTGAATTGATCATTACACCTAGTATATATGTATTGAATTATTATACTGTATTCTATAAATATGAACAATTATTGTCAATTAAAAATAAAAAATGAATTGTGTAATACGCTACATTAACAGAGTCAAGGAAAAAAACCATATGATCATCTCAATAGATGTAGAAAAGACATTCGACAAAATCCAACACCCATTCATGATAAAAGCCCTACAGAAAATTGGAATAGAAGGTCTTTATCTCAACGTCATTAAGGCTATCTATGAAAAACCAGCAGCCAACATCATACTAAATGGTCAAAAACTGAAAACTTTCATGCTAAAATCAGGAACAAGACAAGGATG